AACAGGAATTCTGAAAGCCTTACAGGAACAAAAAAAGTGTTCCCACAGGACTCTACTGAATATACATCTTCTCTCTTACACTCATAGAAGTTCTTTCCCACACGATGTTCATCTTTGTCGATATCATAATACACACATATACAGTCGCTCACAAGTTAGCCACGCATTCCCTCATGCTATTCAAAAAATCTGTTCTCATTTTAAATTAACGATCATTTTGTACTTTTTCCTACAAATTTCTGGAAGATATTAAATAAAAAACCTTGCTTAATGTGGAGTTTTTTGTAACTTTAATCATGCTACAAAATATTATCGTAAATACTATTTCTTATTCTTCAATATATAATATAGAATCTATATTTGTAAGAATAGCAGATGAGTAATAATGCAGCTTTGATATCAACTAAGTTTCGAATGTTTATAATTATCAAAAGAAAATGTATTTTTCTCATATTTGTTTATGTTGTCTACGTTAACTTTATTTTAGTCTTAGATATTTTGATTTTTCTTTCTGTTATTCGAGATACAATAGCTAATGAGACCATATTACAATGAATTTTTAAATGATATATGTTGATTTGCTTCCAAATGTTTGATCATTGAAAGATATAGAAAAATCATGATTATGTTACACAATTATTAATCTCATTTCATTTTAGAAAATAAAAACATTTTGAATTAGAACTATCTTATACAAATTAATATTATCAATTGCTACGATATCATACGAAAATCTATTTAGAAAAATTAATAAGCAAGGCGCATGCAAGTGTCTATCGTAAGATTTCAACTGTTTCTTGAACTTTATTGTTGTTTTTTTGTCTTCTCTCATATCAAACAAAACGTTGTCTTTCTACTTTGTATAAGATAAGCGAAGATAATGAAAATTAAACATAGGTACACAAATATAGGGATTGTTCTCGCAAACAGTGAATGAAATCAGTTTTAGATCTATTTAAGTTTATTATTGAAATCTTTTTTTCTTAAACTTAATATGGAACAAATCAATGAACAAGAAGATATCTAATATATTGATGATGGTGATAACGAAACAGATATGTAAGTTGCAATCCAATACAGTAATCTTTTTCGTTAGATAGATATATACTAATTCTTTTTCCATCGTAACAACAGTCGACTCAAAAGAGGTCCGTAACAACAGGAATATTTTCGGCTTTTTCACAATCTGAGGTATTTTTTTAGCTCATTAAATTTTTTTTTTGATGTTCTCGAGTTTTGCTATGTTAAGTGGAACATCCTTCAATCTTAATGTACAAATTCAAAATCATTTTACTAATTCAACTCTTTTCATCAAAATCAAACTTTCATCTATACCGAAATCAATATCTGACTGTTATCACACAAACCTTTTTATTTTTTGTTAATCTAATTATTCTTACTAGTTTCTATTGTGTTAAAACTTTCTTAACTTGAAAGACTTATCATTGATAAAATTCGATCAAATTATCTTAAAAAATTTTTCAATAAGTTAGATTCATTACTAAACATACATTCTTATTGATCAGGTTCCAGATAGAACGAGTCTCTTCTTTCATCAGATATTTTGCTTACTTTTACTGAAATATCGCCAAGTGTCACTGGAAGAACACGCTAAATGTCACTCATTACCCCATTGCAACTAGTGAATTCAGTCGAACTGAATATCTTATTCGCACAATAGTTTGCATTTATGGGGTCTGCTCCTTAGAAAATTGGATTTTTCAAAAAAAAAAAATATCGAAATTGAGTTTTTATCACAAGAAGATGCAGCGAAGCTTCCTCTTCCAGAATATATATGGCCTTTTGGAAAATGACTAGATTTTCAAAGACTTATCACATGAAATTTTGACTCTACTACCATATTTTCGGGGAAATTTTCGTGGTTTTTAAAGTTTCTCAGTTTTGGAAAAACTGCGTCGTCACTTGCATTTACATTGAATAGAACATTTTTATATTAATCGGGATGTCAGATGGCGTTAGTTACCTTCATCTATAACGTACTTTAAAAAGGTCCACTGGAATATATTAAAAATATACCATTGTGATATGATTTGTTCCGGATTTGAATGAAAAAATACATTTCTAAAATTTCTTTAGCTTTTTTTCTCAAAACACGGTTTCTAGACAGGAAAGTTGAAATAAACCCCTCTCGGCTTGGAGTGTCATCGATGTTTTTTTTTGACTATGGTTGAACATGATGAGAATGCGTATTGCAAACAATGCTGCGCTTGGAAATTCGGTTTAGAAGATGGAACATTCGGAATGGATACCGGTGATCATTTCAGGCACATAAAGTCACATCAGTAGGTATATTCTTTCGTGTCTCTCTAGTCCTCACAACTGCTGGATCTATAGTTGACTAAATAAACTTAGATCTTACACGTCTTCTATTGGCTTCATTAGTATTTTTAAGCTTTTTTTCCTACTATGCTACAATATTTAATCAATTCCCATGCTGAACAAAAAAACCAGATGTAAACTATGCCTCACTTGAAAAATAAACAAAACATCATTCGCTTTATTCCAGAATTTTCCAAAGAATTATCCACTGATTCTAAATAGAACTCCAAAGGTTAGATGTAGATGATGTGTGGGTGTCAAAGGACTAGAAGACTCAAACTCAACTCACATCCAATCTATCCATAGTTCCTCTTCTCGCGACAGAAAGAGAGACAAAATACTCAAGATTCTTCTTTCATCTACAGTTGTCTATTCAATTTATTATGAAACTGAAGAAAACATTCAATCAAACTAACAATCGCTTACAATTACAAGTTTCTTTCTAAAAGTCATACTAGCTATAGATTAAAGGTTTATCACACTAAGTAATTTCATTCTCTACTATTTTACTGTCTATTTATTGAATCATGTTTGAACAGAAATGATTGATTTGGTGTGTACTTTAATTATTGAATTGTTTTATTGCATATACCAAATGGAAGAAGAAGAAATAAACACTGATATTGATCAATGAAGGCTATGAGTTACAATAAATAACATTATGGTTTCTTCGTATCGTATCGAACCTTCCATCAAAGAAGTGTTAATGAATAGTTGTCAGTAATATTAAAAAATGATTTGATTACAAGAATGATTCAGTTAAACACGAAATTTTTTTTCTAATTGAATTGGACACCGTTCAATTTGTATGAAAAATAACAAAACTTGACTTTAAATACTTTAACAATTGATCTAAATCGTCAATGATAAAAATATAATATTGGCAAAATTCATGTACCTAGCCTGTTCAATTGTGATAAATTATAACAAATTGAAGCGAATGAAAAATTAATTATCGACAACAAAAAGAAAACTTCATTGGTCTACTAAAAATACATATAATAGTATTATTTATTTTCAATTCTAAAAGTTTTTACGTTGTAATCTATTAAGGAAAAGAAGATCGTGTATATAGTTTTCAACAAAAACATAAAATTAAAAACTCATTTATTTTTTTTAATTAGATAAGTAGTATTCAATAGTGTAGGTAAGATGTTCTTGCATATGAGAATAATTCAATGGATTATTGTTCGTCATCGGATACATGTAGTTATAATTATCAGTGAGAGACCTAATGATTTGACAAATAAAAAACTTATAGTCATTGAATTATTTTTTCTTCTTCGAGTTTATCATTACTCTTTTAATAATTAAAACTAGCAAACAAAGAAATTGAATACGTTCTGCAATCATTATTTTTCTACACTAGAAATCTTGGAATAAGAATCAATTGACTTGATAATTAGACCAAGACACGTATCGTATTTCTCCTTTTCGTTCTTTTTTTATTACTTCGATATGTTTCTTATTAAAGAAGGCATCACTTAGGTATTCTTTATTTCTCTTTTTTTTCCTTCTGTTTGTTCATGTATAGTAGAGTGCAAAAAAACACTGCCGTTTGACATAGGAATTTTTTCGAGGCTTGTTTCATAAGTTTATTGAACGACCACTTTAGAACTGTTTGTGAACAATAGTCAGTAGTTCTGTGCATTCAGCAAGACTAACATATATTCAAAGGTGTTGTTGAGTTTGATAAAATTGACGCGTTATTCAAATACTAATTATCTTGTCCATAGAACGATCAGTCATCTTACACTACTGAAGAAATAATTCTCGTAATGTTATACAAAACTGTTTGTGTAAGCAAAGCAATATTTGAGCTTCTTCTGCACGAAACCAATACTGAAAAATTTAGTGACACAGACTTCAGGTTAGTTCAAAAGTTTTGACCAACTATCGAGCTACTTGTCGATAGGAGAAGATCTTCGAATCTCGATGAATTTAACAGGTTTCTGAACAAAGAATGGAATAGAATTGACGTCTAAACTGTAAGCTTTTTGAATGCTTACACGAGAGCCAGTTTTTTCGTTGTGTCAACGCTTTTATTAATGGAAAACAAAAATTATTGCTATTCTAGAATTGAAGCAAACCCTGCTGTAACAGAGAAAATTTATTTATTACTAATAGAAGACAAGTGAAATGTTTCATTTTTTTCTTTGGATGAAGTTCCTACGAACAATGTTTATACTAATGATTATGAAAAAGAAACAAATGAATGATAAAAGACAAAATTATTTTCAAAATTTCTTAATACATGCTAAATAATAATAATAATTCATGTATTTGTCAACTAAATTTCAGAAACATAATCCAATGAATTATTTTTATAAAACGTTCAAAAAATGATAAAAAACAATAAATATTTTGAAGGTCATGTCATAATAGTCATTATGATATTTACTATCGAAATGGTTCTACCAATGAACGGATTAACAACAGGTAATCTTCTTCGTAATGGAGATTTCAGTCAACTAGAATTCAATAGACAACCAAGTATTTGGAACGTTACTGTCGGACAGGGTAATACTTCAGTTGCGATTCTGCCTAGAAAATATCTATCTTTCAATGCAATCGAAATTTCCGTAAACACTAATCGAACTTTACTTACACTCACTCAAACGATTGAATTAGAACAGGGCACAAATAAAAGCCTTCTCGTGATGACTTTCTGGTATAATACATGGATAGTCTATGGTTCGGGAAGTGTTCGATTAGAATTCTATAATAGTTCAAACTATAGGATTGGAAATGAATATATGAAATCTCTTTCTTCTAACTTAACATGGACTTATGTTCATATCAAAAGACCTGTTCATAATTATGCAGCATTTGCTAAAATTATAATTCGAATGCATAATTCTATGGGAAAAGTTTTAATGGCTAATATTTCTATTGAACAAGTAGATTTTTGGCAGAATACGACATTCTTTGTGTCTCCAAGACGAGACGGAACAATTTTTATTCAATGGAACTTTGAAAGTAATGGAATTGATATTGCTACTTATGATATTTACAGAGGTAAAGGAATATTATCTGCACTTAATTATACTCATCTTTTGGTAACTATTCCAACAATGTCTTTGTATGGGAAGAATATATACGAATCGATGTATACAGATCATTCCGTTCACTTGGACACAATATATACCTATCAAGTAGTCGCTCGACACTCAAATAGAACAATTATTGACCAAACGATACTTAGAATTGGTCAAGCAGACTTAGGAGAAGGGTATCATAATATTTCGACACTTATTGCTTTGCCAAGAACAAACGGCATCCATCTTAGTTGGAAACTCAAAGCAAGTAGTGCATCTAAACATGTTACTCTTTACAATGGTATCGATAGTATATCTAAAATAAGCAATGATGAAGCTCAGCTTTTAGGTAGATATTCAGTACAAGATATGAAAGCAATCGTCTCATTATCCAATACTGGTCCTTTTCTTCTGGTATCTGACGATGGAAAGGATATAGCCACTGCTAAACTCGCTAATCTTACTCGTCCACGGATAGTCTTGACATCAACACATCTAGATTTCATTCGAGAAAAAATCAATCAACCAGGACATGCACAAGAGGTTTTTAAAGGACTTATAAAAAGTATTTATGCCTATCAACCTGACAACTCTTTCAATTATTGTTGGCCTGCACGAGATGCAGCTCTACTGTACGCTATCACAAGAGATATTACTTACGTTCATATGGCATACGTAGCATTAAACATTAATAGAATGAATTATACAATATACGACAAATCTGCTATCAAACTGCGATTCAGTCTTAGTACAATGGCTCGAGCACAAGCTTTTGATTGGGCTTACGATGCTTTTACTATGCAACAACGACAGGAATTGATGAACGATTTTCAATATGCTGCATCTATATTTACATCTTATTCAGGTACAGGCGAAAGGATGGCCAAATGAATTAAATAAGAGTTTTGATTTCGTTTTCGACAGATTTGAACATAGTTTATTTGCTCAGAATTTTGTATTTTCACATAATGTATTCAGATTTCTTGACAATATTAGTATTAGGTTTTTTTCTTATAGAGCCTATTGTATAGCTTCATTCAATATACTTGAGACTATAGTGTTCTATATTGATATTTGCGTGAAAATGAAAAGATCGTTCGAGAAACAAATTTTGTCGTTACACTGATTTTGAATATTATTAAAACTATCTGTGAATAAATCACTCTCTTCCCTTACAAAAGAGATCAGGAGGAAAAAAGATCGTCTTTTTTCGTTCTACAGAATTAATTTGAAATCTATTCAGAATAAAATAAATAATATTCTTATTTGAATCACTAGATAATTAATTACTTCTTGATCGAATTCCATCAACATGATCTAATTTTATTATAGATGATCATTCACGAAATCCAAATGACAAAGCAAGTAATTGGATTGGAATTGTAAAATCAGGTGAATTAATACAACATCTTACTCTTTACGGCGAAGAAGGATATCCAGATGATCAAGCCGAAAGACGAATTTTATTTCTTTTGAATGAATTGAAACTACATCTCGACCATTCTTATGGTCCTTCTGGTTATATGCAAGAAGGATTGAGCTATCTTGCATACACATTACCCATTCTTGGCCCAGCTGTTTATCTAACAAAATATATGGGAATTTGCACTTTTGATGAAGCTTGGTCTCGTCCAGACTGGCACAACTTAGCTTTACACATAATTTCATTGAGAAAACGAAGAAATTCTTTACAATTTGGTGTATCAGACTCAACTTATTCGTATAATGGATTTATGCCATTTATTTTCAACTCTACTAATGACATAAACATAAAAGCTGCTCTAAAATGGTTATATGATCGCACTATGGGAATGAATTCGTCTTCACCAGCATACGATGGTAAAGACAAAAGTGCTGCATTGTTATATTATCCATATGAAATAGCAGTTCAGCATCCGAGTATTGCATTTCCAAGATCAACTTCAATGATTAGTGATAATATCGATGGATTCTATGCATTTCGAAATCGTTATCAAGATCAAAACGATGTATTAATTGCACTTATGAATAGAAATAGACGTCATGGAGGATGGAATGCAAATGAAACATTTGCATTGTCAATTATAAGTCACGATACCACTTGGGCACGAATGCCTGGAAAAGAATTTAAAAAATATAATCTTACGAGAAAGTTCAGTACGCCACTCATAGATGGATGGCCTAGAGAACCACCAAAAAGAAAGAAACTTGGTTACACAAAAGTAATAAGATCGTTCAATGATCAAGGTGGTGGATATGTTTCCATTGATTCCAGTGTAAATTTAAATATTACTCTTGCACAACGAGATATACTTGTGGATATGATAACGAGAGGTAATATCGACACAATAATAGCTATACACGATCAATTTATTAATACTTTATCACATTTTTGGCATTGGCAACTTAGTCCTGATCCAAGTGAGACTAATATTACATTAGGAAATGAAAATAATCTCTCAACATTTATTATAAGAGGACGAAATGAAAGTTGGCTCAAAGGTTGGCTCTACAATTATCAAAATGCTACTTACAATAATACTGAAGAAGTATTACGAGTTATAAAATATGGTTCCAGTGCAACTTTCAAGATCGCTATGGCACTCGGAATGGGCATTGAGCCAGTTGCTAATAGAACAGCAACCGGTATCATTATTGATGATGCTTGTATTGATTTTGATGCCTTATTTCTAGGTTTACAGGTCATTTTCAACGTTCATTCACTTTTCTCTTTTTTTGTCTCACGTATTTAGTCTCCGATTCCTAAACAGGATTAAACGTGATTTATTGTTTAGTTTTTATTAGTCGTCAACGAATATTTTGACATGAAAAACTTTTCTCAAAATTTCATATTTCCTAATTTTATTCAGATATTTCTATTCATCGTCGCTATGATTATCTACCAATATATCTAAAATTTAAAATTTCACAAAAAAAAATTCTTGTAAAGAGACTGAAAGAATGAATTTAAATAAGAACATATAGCTAATCTTCTGTCAATTATGATGAACTATTTAATCTTGGTTATTTTTAATCATATATTTCTTTTAGTGTCTAACGACAACAGTGATAACGTCAACTGCTGTTCCTGATATTAAGGTGATCATTGAAATATATTCTTTCTTATTCTTTAGTCATTTGATGGATGTATTATTTCGTTTAGACTCCATTAATTGTAATAATTTCTGTTGCAAGTGCACTTATTGGTTTAGTTGTTCTTATTATAATCGTTATCTTGATAAGAAAAAGAATAAATAGGTAAATCTAAAACCACCTGAAATAATTCTATAAAATTTTCTGTATAGAAATAATCGTGTTAGTTCAATGTTAAAAATGAAAACAAATGTAAATTGAATTTATTTTTCCATATAATACTTGAAGAGAATAAATGTCTTTTTCAGAATGTTGATAAATTATCGTCGTTATCCATTCAAACATTATCTAAAAATAACATTGTTAATCAATCAAATCTTACCGTAAACTGATCATTTAAAAGTAAACTGCAGATATTTATCATAATACTTATCGAAGACTTATTTCAGCAATTTTTTATCATTTAAATAAAACGTGAGCCTGAAGTTTTAATGGGTGAATTTGGGTGTCGATGTTCCATAACTTTGAAATTCACAGATATTTACGCACACACTCTGATATGTATGTTCGCACAGAAACGGATGAATCGATGATGGACGACTACCCGGATAGCAACGAATATAATTTGTCTCATTTAAACAGTACAGACCGCTATTTTAAGTTAGAACAAAAGGCGATCTAGCATGATTTTTCAGTCGTTCGAAAACATTACGCATCTCACTGAGCTGTTTTCCATCATGTAAAAACATGAGTACTTTGTGACAATATTTCTGATATGCATTAATGTTTGCTTCGTATTCCCATCAATAGCTAAAAAACAGATCGATTTCGCATAATCGCATTAGAGCTAGAGCATGTCAAAGAAATGAATATGCTCGATAGTTCCATGAAAATTGAGCGTGAACGTAGGGTATATTTTGATCAGCTAGAGTGAGATGAAACATTCTCAAGAAGTGGATATAATTCACAGGATCATCAGGATGATGAGAAACTAATGATAATGGA